TTTTACTTGATGGCCAAATCCCATGTAGGTCAGGCCCATTCAACTCTTTTATTTTATGGTTAGCGGTTAGCCCATTAGATACCATGCATTAGTTTATTGTTAAATTTTTTATTTTTAACAATAAAAAAGAGTATTATTTTTGTCTTTTCATATATATTTTATCACCACAGAGAAATAAAAGGGTATAAAGAAAAAAAATTGACACTCCTAGACCTGTTTAAATCCGCATGTGTACGGTAAGTTGGCCCGTTCCACAGAGGAAAGAGAAAAAATTGGTACTCCCTATTCTACCCTTCCTACAAACGCTCCTGGAGCAGGGAATTTGAAATGGGGGAAGAATTTTTTCCACCCTGCTATTATATGTTTTTAATTTAAAAGGATACAACAAATGTACTTAGTGTGATTGGTTATGATCCTTGCCTTTCTTTAAAATGGTCATGGTTCGAATCCCAGTATGTATCTTTTTAATGAATAAAAAAAAGTAATTGTGAAGACCAAAATGTCCTTCCTACTTTCACTCTCGTTGCAGGAAATTTGAAATGGGGCTCCCGTTTTTCACTTCGGTGTATTATAGTATGTGTAGATTGTTAACAGAAGACAGCGAGTATATAAAATAAACATTTTGCGGATCAATGGCCAAAATTTTGCCTTTCTTTGAATAATGTTGGCTTTCTTTGAATAATGTCATTTTATTATTGTTATTTAATTCAACATCAGCAAACGTTTTTGCAAAACAATGGCCAAAATTTTGCCAATGCGACCGTGACGGCGATATGATTATGGGGCTGGCAATAATGAAATGGATGGAGTAAGCAAACGATTCAGGATTTAAGAACATCACTAATTTTTTTTAATAATGTTAATTTCGTGCATATGTTTTTTTATATAAAAAACTATCTGGCAATAGCCATGTAGGGGGCGGGCAGTTGGGGGAGGATTTTAATGAAACAGGTTCACTGTTAAAAGAAAGTGTTAGCACGTAACTAACACTTAAGGGTGTTAGTAACCAAAAGTTTATCAAAAATACAAATAGGTTCACTATTAACGAAATACTTGGGGCCAAGATTTTGTGGTAAGGATTTTGAGATTTGTGGAGTATATTTTGTGGTTTGTATCCTGAATTTTGTGGGGTGGCTGTGGTTTGTGGAGAGGACTCACTGGTTAGCACCTAATTCAAATATCGGTTCGATTTATTTTTTTCCCCGTTAACATTAAGAAAACTCACTGGAATCAATAACTGGACTACATTAGATTCAATTAGATTTGAACTTATCCATGTATTTGGTGAGATCGGGTCAGGTGCAGACCAAACGTTGCACCGACATGCAGAGGACTCATAATATTCATTGAAAAAACTATCATTATTCGAGAGAAATCGATATCATCACATTTATTTGGTTCTTTTGCATTAGTGTCATAGAAGTATCTACTTCATTTTTTCCCCCGATGAATGGCCAGGATTTTGTTCATCAAATACGATCAACAACAAGTTTATAACCTGACAACAACAAGCTTACAACTCAACAAACCAACAACACTGCTTTCCTACCACACAACTACACATCTATGATTTACAATATGACCTTCAGCCACTTATCTTATACCACAAAGAAAGACTAGAAACAGACTCTGCAATTTTTGGGTCTCCAGCTTCCTTAGCTTCCATCACACTCTGCATCTTCTTTGTGACCTCTACAACTCTCAATTGCTTACCTCCATAAAGCCTCCTGCACCGTTCCCTCCAGATCTCACTCAACACCAAAGCATTATGCCAACCAAACACGTTTTGAACCTCTGATTTGCTACATTTACTGCCTGCTGCAGTGTTCTGGAAACTGGGAATGACCATGACGCTGGGAACACAACAACCCAAACTTCCTGCACATATTTACACAGAAAGAAAATATGGCTCCTTGACTCTGGTTTTTGTCCACAGAGAGGAGACTTTAGTTCTACCTCTGGACTCCAACGCTACACTACATCAAGAGTTGTTATTCGGTCTATCATAATCAACCATGTAATTGTCGAATTCTTAGGAATGCCACTCTTCTACACTAGTTTAGACCAGCTCACAACTTCACTTTTAGGTCTGATACTATGCCATATCCTGCTAATCTGGAACCTAGGCATCTTCTCTCCTTCCCAATCCACCCCTTGATTTGTCTTGCACATTTTCCCCGAGAACTCTGCTCTTAACTTGAGTATTTTATTCCATACCCAAGAACCTCTAGTGCTCACATCCCTGATACTCAGATTCCTTAGTCGATATTCCTTTATCCAAGCAATCCAAAAGGTATCTTGACCAGCAAGAACTCCCCAAATATGACGAGCTAGACAAGCCTTATTCTAGGAATACAGATCCTTAAACCCCATACCACCCTCTGTTTTTGGTAGAGCTACCTGTTTCCAGGAGACTTTAGCTTTCTTCTTTTTTTCAAAATCACTCCAAAGGAATTGAGAGCAAAGAGATTCAATTTGCTTAATAACTTTCTTAGGAAAGAGGATTGGTGACCATAAGGTCCCAGGTTCGATCCTCACCGCCACCATGGTGTTCCCGGAGGCATCCCGCTATCACCCGGACCGCCGGCGGAGGTCCCGGGGTTTAGCCTGACTACGACATCACAAAATGTGGTGACCGTGGAGGGTGTTCCTCGTTATCAAAAAAAAAAAAAAACTTTCTTAGGAAAGAGGATGACATTGATCCAGAACTAGGTCATGTTAGCCAGGACTGACATAACCAGTTCAGCTTCCCTGCATAAGTCAATAGCTTAGGCTGCCATCCCATAATCCTCGCAACGATTCTGTCTACCAAAGACTTGCAGTCAAGTGAGGAAAGTTTCCCTACATTCAAAGGGAGACCTAAATATCTGACAGGTAAGATGCCTTTCTTGAATCGAGAATTTTGTTCTAACTCAGCTTTCAGATTAACAGGTACCCCCGCACTAAAAATTTCACTTTTACTTGGGTTGCACCTTAAACCTGACACCAAGTAGAACTTTTGAAGGATCTCTGCTACCACTGATACTCCTTCCACAGTTCCTTTTGTGAAAATTAGTAAGTCATCCGCGAAACAAAGATGAGTTAAGCTAATTTTGCTTCATTGAGGGTGATAGGGTAAAATAGATCGAGAGGTTGCTCTATTCAACATACAGCTAAGCACCTCCATACTAATAGCAAATAGGTATGGAGACAGAGGACACCCCTGCCTCAACCCTTTTTTGCTTGAAAATTTCCTATAAGTCCCCCATTAATGCAGACTGAGAAGCTTGTATAATCTAGGCAACCTCTTATCCAATTCACAAACCTTTCTGGAATCCCCATTGCTGTCATTATACAGATCAGAAAATCCCAGTCTACACTGTCAAATGCCTTCATAATATCTATCTTAAGGGCACATCTAGGGAGACATTCTTCCTATTATACCACTTCACCATTTTCATATGCTAGAACTATGTTATCAGTAATGAGTCTTCCTCTAATAAAAGCTGACTGATTTGGACTAATCAGTTGTGGCAGAACTAGTTTCAGTCTATTAGCAAGAATCTTTGATATGCACTTGTAAACAAAGTTACAACAACAAGAAAAAGGGCAAGAATTGTGCAGTTTGTCTTCCTCCTCATCTTGACAGACTAAAAATACTCTTGAATAACCTTGGTAAAGACTTCTTCAACCATATCCAGTGCCCTTGGAAGAACTCTGCTAGATAGCCATCTGGCCCGGAGCTTTTCCCTTCTTCATACCCATTACTACTTTCTTAATTTCTTCTCTTGTGATTATAGAGCACAAATCCTCTCCTCCTTCTATTAAGTGGAATTTCAGTAGCTGCCTTAAAGTGTCAACAGTAACCCTACTCAGATTAGGATCTTGTGTTCCCAGTAGCTTCTTATAGAATCTTACTGCTTCCAGACCAATCTCTTCTACATTTTCCAACACTACACCATCTTCTGAGATTAATTGCTTGATTGTATTCCTTCCTTGCCTTGTTTTCATCATACTGTGAAAGAACCTGGAGTTTGTGTCTCCACTGTTAACCCATTGTTGTTTGGATTTCTGTCTAAGGAAAGAATTCTCTGCTTTCTGCAACTCAAGAAGCTGGACCATACACCTCTGCTCAGCCTGGAAGGCTGAGGAGGCAGGGCGCTCCAACACTTCCTGTTGTGCCTGAGCAAGTTCTTTCCTAGCTGTAACTACCTTTGCATGAATATCCGAGTAGTGATCTCGATTAAGACCCTTAAGCTTCGCTTTGATACTGTGTAACATAAATTTTCAGCTCTTGCAAGAGTTGGGTCGCATAAATTCGTCACAGTTATCAACGGCATAATAAAAGTGAGATCATCATCCTATCCAAATCCAACTGCTGCTCCCATTCATAATTGGTCAAAAGAAAGAACCCACCACAACACAAGTTGGTACGGTACCCCTTATCTGTTTATCTTCAATCTCCCTTTTTTTCCCCCTCCTTCTTCTAGTTGTTCGTTGCATCCCAGAGGAAATCAAAGCTAAAGCAAATTTGTTTTCTTTTCAGCATACAGAGAAGATAATAATCCATCGTCTTGTTTGCGCGAAGGATTAAAAAAAGTAAAAAATAAAAGGGAGATTGGAGATAAATATTTGAGACCTACAAGATGAAAGAAATAGAGCAGAAATTGGAGCTTAATTTCATACTCCGGTGGTTGACGAAGATATCACCAATCATATTTACAATGCATCACCGTGAAATTTTGTTAAAAGATCATTTTTATTTTTTACAATGGATCAGAAGATATAAATTGAACTTATTTAAACTGTGGTAAGCCGATCAACTCATTTAATAAGTCATCGTCTTGCTTGCGTGAAGGATTAAAAAAGACAGCCCAAAAAGAGTGATTGAGTTGGAGTCAATCACCTTCATCTCGAATTTGAAATCAAGAGAACAATTATTGTGAAATCGTACGGGAAGTTATACTGACAAAATTTATTAGCAGGATATTTTGTAGTAAAACCACACTTCAATCATTTTATACCGCTAAAACTGCCTACAGTTTTGGACCTGATATCCAAAATTTCAGGTCCAACCAACCTGTACGATAGAGTTTCTAAAACGTTGAAAGAGAGTGGTAGAGGAGAGACCAAAGTAGAACCATAGATAACACTCTCCTTTTTCCCCCTCCTTTTTTGTAAGCAATAGACAGCACTTCTCAACAGAACAAAATATGTTACACTAATATTAGGCAAGTATAAACATATGGTACAATGTACATACATGTTTTGCTTACCTAATTAACTTACAACAGGAGGAGGAAAAAAAACTGCAAATTTCTGGAGTCCGATCCAAACTTCCATGAATGAGCATTCTTATAATAATTGGAAAGGTTCTGTTAATCAAGACCCCAAGTCTTCCATACCATCTATTTGTTAAGCCTTTTCTTTTCCATGAACACAAAACGACAGCTGATCAGCATGGCCTTTTGTCTTCTGAACAGGCTCTATACTAATCTTAAGCTCCCAAGTAATTTACAGTACAGGCCTGGTTCTGTAATTTGAGAAACTGCCTTGTACCCATTTATGAAGGAAGGAAGGAAAAACAAATGGAGTGCGGAGGAAAGCAAATTCTTAGTTACCGGCAGTACTGGCGCCATTTCGCGCCATGGGAAGCTCGAGGATGACCAGGAAGTAAGACCTTTCTGACTCTCTAATGTACTGGACTTCACCATTCATGAGCTTCAGTATCTTCCTGCACATGCTGAGCCCCAGGCCTTCTTGAGTTGCCCAGTTGCTGCTGTGAAACATATCTTGAACTACTTCTGGGGGAAGTCCTTCACCAGGGCAAGCCATCCTTCACAAACAGAAAAGAGTTTGAAACTTTCAGATAGAAGGAGAAGGCAGTGGAAAGCATTCCCACTCTAAGTAAAAGTAAAAGGAGGAGGCCTGGAAGAACTGACAAAGCATAATAGTAGCAAACCTGAACTCGGTACGGACATGGGTGAGACCTTCCACGGTTTGCTTCAGAGATGGACGAACGTGGATCTCGACGTAGCCTGCTGAAGAAGAAGCATACCTCACCATATTCAACAAGAAGTCAGCTAACACCTGTTGGATTCTGGGTTGATCACCACAAACGGCCAGAGATTTTACTTCCTCTGGAATATCACGTATCAGTTGCAGGTTCCTTTCCCTCAGCAGCAACATCACTTGGCTAACGACAGCGTTTATGACACTCCCGAGAAGGAACTCGGTCCTCTCGAAATCAAATGTTCTGGTGCAGAAAAAAATCAGGCGGACAAAGTTCATTGTAATCAGCAGGTTATTCCATTTGGCAGATAAGTTTAAGTATACTGCTGTGAGCTGTCAACGTCGTTCAAGATGAAGAGAAACCAATACAGGATTTCTCTATTTGTAAATACATATATTCGTCATCATTAAACTATCACATAAGCAAAAGGGAACAGGATACAGGAAACTAACCCGTTTTCGATGTTCTCAAGATCAACATCTCGTACAATCTTCAAGATCTGCCTCTCACATGCCGTACTGGTCTCAATAAACTGCTTCTGATCTTCACTCAGCTCGGTAGATTCCAAGAGCGAGTTAGTGAATCGTATACCACTCAAAGGGTTCTTTATCTCCTGACATATATAAGCCAACTCTTTCATCCTCGCAAAATATCTCTTCTCCTGCTCCCTCTGAACTTTCAGAGCTTGCTGCAATTCAGGACTAGCTATTTGCAAGAAGCAGAAGGCCCCGATAATCTGGCCCTCAACATTTGATCTCTTGTTTGCTGTCAGAAGAGCTTGAACATATTTCCCATTCTTGTCAAAAAATGCAAATGGGAATTTATCCGTGTCTTGCCCTCCAATCGCATTGTGAAGAAGTATCATGAACTTGGTTAAAGCATCTGGACCCTTGAGGCGGCAGCAGCCGCCAAACACTTCTCCAACCAGCATCTTCCCTACGATTTCACCTCGGGCATAACCTGTGAGCTTTTCCATGGCGGTATTCCACTCCAGGCAATATGCATTCTCATCTGAAGCAAATATGGGAGGGATCAAAGGGTTTGGACTGTGAACTACGGCCTTGTAATCACCTTGTATGTGAATGAACTTATCCATTACCACTTTTTGACCAGTGACATCTTGACCCACAAAGCAAACTCCAACTATGTTATTCATGTAATCCCTGCTAGAACAAGCGTTCACCATCACAAAGATGGGCGTTTTCTCATGTTGAGAGCCAAACCTCTTTAATTTTATCTCCACATCTTTATCTTCTTCACCTATAAGAGAAAGTAAGAAAAAATCCACGTAATCAAAAGATGCCTGTGAGGCCCTTCAGCTATGTATTTTTACTCCTGGAAATTGAATATACCTTTTAAAGCATCATGAACAAGCTTATCAACGGTTTCTGCATATTCCTGATAAACAAGGTCATGAACCAAAGATTTCCCCATAGCTTCCTCAACCGAAAGCCCTGTCAATTCAGCAACTTTTGCATTCCAGCCATTTATTCTCCCATCCACGTCTACCGCAAATATTGGAGCTGTTGCAGTCTCTATAAGCCTCACCATTTCTCTTGCCACCGAGCTCAGTTCATCCACTCCTTGCAACTCCATATCCCCATGTTGTGAAGGTACAACAGATTTAGAATTCGCTGCAACTTCAGCATCCTTAAATGAGTCACGAAGAATTAGCTGCAAAGAGTGTATCGCATCCATCTCTGCATTTTCCCATGGCAAGCTACGACTCTTCACTACTTCAAGAAAGGCCTTGAATGAAGAACGTGGATGCATTCTTTGGCCGTCATCTTTATCCTGTGGGTGATGTTTTGCACCACCCCATTTGATCTCTTTAGCTGTATGTGACCTGAACCAGAACAAAAAGTCTTTCTTTGTAATATAAGCAACTGCCATTCCACAAACTGCATTGCCAAGTGAAGCTGCACCAGTGTATCCAGCATCATCCAAACTGTCAGTACTTAAACCAGTTGAATCACCATGGAATGCCAGCAACCACTCTACAATGTCCTTAATCTGCGCTTCAGTTGGAGTCACACCAAGTGGGTAGTACTTCCCTTGGTAATACAATGCTGCTCCATCACACTTCACCAAATCCATAATACTAGGACTCTGAGTAACAATCCCGGACGGGGAATCTCTCAACAGCATGTCACAAAGAAGAGTTTGAGTCTTCAAAACACGTTTCTCTGATAATTGAGAAGCCAACTGCATCTCCATGTTCAATTGAAGACCAAAAGCTTGCATAAGAAACTCGCAAGCATAACGAAGTGGAAAAGGTATGCACCTAGCTGAAGTGTGGTGACAGACCACCAATCCCCAGAGTTTCATTGCGTTCCTCCCTCCGCCATCTTCATCACTACTATTGATGATCACAGCCATGGCTAACGAAGCAATGGAACCCATGTTTGCCATGTACTGAGCATGGCAACCATGTGGAGCTCGGAGAGTTGAACCAACCAAGCACAATGGCTGCATCAGCCCTTCATCCTGAAACACATGGACTGGGGAAGCATGACAATCGACTATCATCCTAACCCTATTCTGCCTGAACAAGAATCGGGAAGCTTGAGGGATATCAGTGGCAGGGTAGTGCAAACCGATGTAAGGCTCCAAATCGGCTCTTTTGTTCTCCGCCACTACTTCTCCATGCTCATCCTCGTGGAACTTGTAGACCATGACTCTGTCGTAACCTGTGAGATCCCGAACGCACTCAACCACAGTATCGCACAAGAGCTTGATATCGCCTCCGGGAAGAGATTGCAATTGGGAGATCGCTCGAACAGCTAGCTTCTGCGATTGTACGGCACCGGCGATGGAAAGCGCCGGATCTTCAGTTCTCGCAGGCTCCAAATCGATCACGATTCCCACATCGATTCGATGGAGAATCGCGTAGAACGGCTTTCCCGAGTTCTTGGAGTGGATCCAGAGAGGGTTTAGCAGCGTGATTTCTCTGGCCCCGAACGCCTTCTCCAGCAGAATTGAGCTCGAGGAAGCGAAGATTGAGCGGACATCGGCGCCGATCGAGAGAATTTCGGGCTTCTCCAGGGACGGGACTGATTGCGGAGTTAAGCCGAGCATGTCGCGCGCGTTCTCGCTGTAGGCGATTACGGCGAAGGAAGCCTCGTCGACGGCGATCATGCAGCCGAACGGCTGGATGTGGCCCCCGCGCTGGATTTTGGAGAGGTACGCCGTGATTTGCTGCTCCGGGACGGACTGGTTCGTCGTCCTCACCGATTGAGAGTAGTCGAAAGACCTACCTGACTCGCCGGACCTCTCGAACACAGCGTGGAGCTGCGCGTCCACGGTGTACTGCGCAATCGCCTTGCTCACTGACTCCGCCGCCGCCGAAGACGCCTGAGGCGGCGGCGGCGGCGGCCTCAAGTTGCTTGTTCCCGATGACTGCGGCGGCTGCTGGTCGTAATTCTGGTTGCTGTGGTGGTAACGGTGGTTAGCAGCAGCTCCTGCTGATGGAGCTGAAGTTCCTCTGCTTCCAGACGCCATTTTTGCTTCTTTCTTCTGGAAGAAGAAGAAGAAGAAGGCGAGACGAGAGGGAGGAAGATTATATATTTATATAAAAAATAGAAAATGGATTGTTTTCATTTCTTTTCTGCAGTGTTTGTGGCGAATGGAGGCGAAACTGAGAATTCTTTTTGTTATCTCAGTCACTCTCTCTCTCTCTCTACTTTTTTAGAGAGAAAAGCGAAAGGCAGCGGAAAGAGTGAAAAGAAAGCAGACCAGCTTTTTCAGCCCATTTTACTGCGGCGGTGAAAACGTTTTTACAGTATTTACTGGGACTGGGCTGGGAGGGAGGGAACTTCGTCGGCGTCGGCGCCGGAGAGAGAGGGAGATTCGGCCGGCGGCTGGGGTGGTAGGCCAGGTGGGCGGCAAAAGAACAAATTTTATTGGCTGGTGAGAGGGATCCATGTGGGTGGGAGGGATTGTTCTGTAAATTTGGGGGACCAAAATGAAAATTTGGAATTGGGAAACGTGGGAAATTCTTTTTTGTTTTTAACGTTATAGTGGGTGTGTTTATTGTTTTTTTGGGGGAATGCCCGCCATTACTTTAATTATGTTACTTGGATTTTGTTTTTGTTTGGCGCCTTGATTTGAGCTTTAAAGCCAAACACACAATTAACATGCGCAAAGGTTGTGTGGTCAAATCGAAAATTGAGTCGTTAGTTTAGTGAGTTACCGTATTAGTATTATTTTACTAGAAGGATAGATTTACCACATGTAAAATGCGTATATTTAATGATATACATTTGTAGTAAGTATATTTTATTGTCTAGTATTGACCGCTGTGTTATCTTTGTACCTGACTTATTTTATTTGTTTTTTATTTGGTTTAAGTTCTTATTATTGATGTTAGGGATGACCATTTTGATCTAACCCATTTTACTTAATTTGTTTTATATGCTTTTGGGGTAATACTAGTCCTGTAAGTAGGGCTGGCTATTTGGACCGGGACCGGATGAAAAACCGGAAACCGGACCGTATAACCCGGACCGGGACCGGATAGTAAACAATCCAATCCAATCCAATCTTTGGGTTTAGATTTGAGGTAAAAACCCGGATAAAGACCGGATAAGAGAGCTCAACACCCAAAACTTAAGGTTAATTTGCATAAACGGTCACAAACCTTTGCACTTAGTACAAAACTTAACCAACTCCTTACCCTTTTAGGCCTTAGGCCACTCAAATTCCCACAATCTCAATATAAAATCAAGACCGAATTGGGACCGGACCGGGTCAAGACCGGACTGTATCCAATCCAATCTTCGGTCCTTATATTTTCAAAAAAACCGGACTGGACCGGATCAATTTGGGCCAATTTAATCGGACCGGACCGTATAGCCACCCCTACCTGTAAGTAATCATTTTGATATGACCTGCTTTATTCACATTAGGAATGACAATAGGTCGGGTTGGGTCGGGGTAGGGTTGGCCAACGGAAAACGGGTATTTGAGTATACTCATACTCGTCCCTTTTTTGAGGGTTACGGGTACCCAAATACTCGTTTTATTTATTGCGGGATGGGATTTGGGATTGCAAATGTTAACATTGGGTACTCACGGGTAACCCGCTAATACCTGTTTGGGTAATATGGGCACCCGTTATACCCAAATACATTAGTCTAAATCTAAAATTGAAACCAGTTCCCAACGAACATTATACCCAATACACAAGAATTTAAGGGGACTATATACCCAATACACAACAGCTAAAGGGGACTAATGCATGAACTTGTGGGTTGTTATTGTCCCACACTAAAGTACTAATGCCGAACGTCTTTTGTGGTCAATGGACAGTAAGGGGACAAACAACTTATGCTTACGGGACAATTACAGTAGCTAAAATTTTATTATTTGTTGTTCAAACTCAACAGTAGCTTTATTTAGTTATTTTGTTTGTAATTTTATTATTTTGTTCCAAATACAATTTTGCCATGTTGAATGGGTATAAACGGGTAGTTTGGGTGCCCGTTATTCGTCCCGTACGGGTTAATGGGTACCCGTACGGGTTTGGGATATGGGATGAACTTTGATCTCCAATTGGGATTGGGTACCCGTTTCAAACGGGACGGGTACCCAATCCCGTCCCGTTTTCCACCCCTAGGTCGGGGTTTGCCAAACACAAACCTAAACCTAAGTCGAGGTAAAACTCACTGGGTTGTCTTGTGGTAGATCAACTTTGTTGCTATTTGACTTATCAAATATTAATTTATAGAGGTGTACTTTAAATAAATAAAAAATCCAATACTAAGATAAATAATACAAAAGGAATACTAGTTTACGAGATGCTACAAGATAAGATACTGAACATACATACATAATCAAACGGTTTTAGTTAAATTATGAGAAAATCATAAATACAAGTTATCTTAATATTCAAATTCGAATTTCGCTCATACTAATGAATTTTTATCTTACTCACTCCAGTCGAATTCGAGCCGGGTAATCGTAATTTGTAAGTCCTAACTATAGATATTTTCCCATCCCTATGTGCTGGTCGAATTCGGGCGACTAACGTACCCAACAAAAATATCGTTGGGAGTTTGCAGAATAACATTATGAGATCCGGGGAGTGATATTGAGATTCGAGAGCCTTTTTTTAAAATAGAAAGTAGAGATTGAGAGAGTCCGAGTAGGGAGCTGCAGATTTCCAGTTTTTGTCTGGAAGCGCACGTGGACGTGGTAATGGGTTCAGGCCCGTGTGTGGGTCAGAACATTACACAGCGTCCCAGCCCACGTGACTAAGCCCCCACTCTCCTCACCTTCACGTGCCTTGCCACCCTTTCTTTCTTTACTTTTATTTTGGCTTAATTGCAAGTTTGGTCACTCGAATTGCTATAAAATTTCACGTTTGCCACTCAAATTAATTTATTCAATTTATAGTCACTCGAATTAGTTGAACAGTTCAAGTTCAGTCACTCTCCGTTAACTTTGACTGACTGTGGCGGTCAACTCTGACAGTTGACCGTTAAATGTGTGACGTGGCAAATAAAAAATAATTAAAAATTAAATTAAATTTTTAGAAATTACACATCATTATAAAAAAGAATTATAAAAAATGAAAAAAAGAAATTATTTTCTTCTAACTTGCAATTAAGCCAACGAATTGCAATTTGCAGAACACTATATCAATACAAGAAGATCAAGCACATGAACTTCTCTTCCAATTATTTTCTTCTAGTCGCCAAACACTAAAGATATCCCCCATGAGAAAAATCATGTGCAGAAGCTTAGAACCCAGAAGTATCCATTATAGTTGCCCACTAAAGATATCCTCTCTGAACTACCATGAACAACAAAAAATGACAGCACTGAAGCCACTAAAAAAGAAAAAGAGACCTGTAGGCATGAAAACCAATGAAAACCGAATGTGTACAGTAGCATATCATTCTTCAGCAAGCATCTGTGTACGGTCGGAGCCACCTCCGAGGGGCTAAAGGCAGGGCGACCCATCGCTTGGTGAATGGATTGCAGAGGAATAACGTTCGCCCCAGCTCGCTGCTGTTGTCGCTCCGGCTCGCGTTGAACCCGAGTAAGAGCAGGTCCCTGAAGCAATCAAGAATGTCGAAACGGAAACAGGCCTCGGCAGTAGGCAGGGGAAGAAAAGTCGAGACCAGATCCGGGATGTTTGAGGGAGCCGGAAGCGCGATGGGTTCGGATTCGCCGGCGATGTGGTGAGAAACGAAACGGCGAGCGAAGTATGGAGTGGAGATGAGGGAGTTCCATTGCTTGCAGACGGGTTTGGATCGAAAGGCGGATTTTGTGTCCGGTAGATGAATGAGGAGTTCAATCAGGATGTGTAATTTTTTTCATTTTTTATAATTTTTTTTATAATGATGTGTAATTTCCAAAAATTTAATTTTTATTTTTTAATTATTTTTTATTTGCCACGTCACACATTTAACGGTCAATTGTCAGAATTGACCGCCACGTCAGTCAAAGTTAACGGAGGTTAACGGAGAGTGACCGAACTTGAACTGTTCAACTAATTCGAATGACTATAAATGGAATAAATTAATTTGAGTGGCAAACGTGAAATTTTATAGCAATTCGAGTGACCAAACTTGCAATTAAGCCCTTTTATTTTTCTTCCCGCGTTCAATGAACCAAATAACCCCAGCAATCAATCGAATCCTCTTCTGGATAGGCATTGCTATAGCAGCAGCCTATGACTTGATCATATCTAGTGTGGTTTGATCTGATTTAAATATCGATTTGATTCGGTTCGGAACAAATTGTTGTATATAACGTTACCAACGACAGCAAACTTGATTTCTCAAGAACGAAATCGACATTTTCTGATTGAGAGAAAGAAAGAAAAAAAACGAGAAAGCAAAAGGTTCGCAGATACACATTCCATATTGCTCCCCTCCCCTAACTTCCAATTATTTGTTCATGGACTAAAAAAGGTTCCTTTCCCTAATGGCAAAATCACAAATCGACTTTAAAAAAAAAGATACAGTTGACAAAATCAAATGGCAGGCTGCAGCAGACGATCGAAAACCGATAGCCCAACAGCAGATGATTTTGCAGACGACGACGCGTTAGAGAGGTTTTCGAATCTCCCCGGAAGCTTTGTTGGCCACGAGAACAGACTTTCAGCAGAGTTGCACCTCACTTTGTGTAGAGAACATCCTCCCATGGGTGGCGGTATAGGGGCTGTTTGAGTCTCTTCTGATCGAATGTGTGCCTGAGAAAAAAGAAATTTGAAAAAAAAACACAAAAGGTAGTTCTCTGTCAGTCGGGTGAAAGAAAGAGACGTCCACTAGCATTGGACTTTTTCTTCTCTGTCACGTAACGAGTCGTATGCATTATTTGAACACTGGACCCATCTCAATGTATTCTCGGACTATATAGCTTACCGTGCAAGCATCAAATGGTGGTGGGTCGCATCCGGTAGGGACCATATGCATCGATTTCACAGTCTCACAGATAGGGTTTGGTATGGGCATGGTAGGGCAAAAGCTAAAAATGAAGGCAAATTTGAGATCCGGTCACTTCGGGTTGCAAAATGCAAACGGGTTGGTCGGGTTGTGTCAAATCTCGACAATTCTACATGTTCATAACTATCGAAATGTGCGAGTTGGGTCCAAGATTGGTGAATCAGGTTACGGAGCAATCGAGTCATGCTGTATGTGTGAAGGAAGGAAGCAGAGGTGGAATATAGGAAATGAAGACATGGGGATAGTAATGCAAAAAAAAAAAAAAAAACTCACCCGATGAGGCCAATGGAACGAGCCAAGACGAAGAGGCCGTTCAAGTATCCAATCTCGACGATCTCGTCGATCTCTGGCTTGGTGAACATTCCGCTGCCAGCAAGGAGATCGAGGAAGAGGGATCCGATCGCGCCATCGACATTCATGACAAGGTTGTTGGCCTTAGTGAGAGTGTAGGTCTCGACCTGGACTGCATACTCCATGTACTTCACGGATGGGAAGTTCGTGCGCGCGAATTCCTGCAACAGCTCCACTCTCTTATCCCTGTTGTCGCCTCTCTTTATCCTAAATTTATCAAACGGGAAGCGAAAAACATGGTTAATTAGATATGCCTATTTATAGCTCAAATCACTCAATCAATCATTGACCTGTAACATACATGCAATAACCCGACCAATGGAATGACCTAGTTCAAGCATGAAGAGTTTCAATCTGAACAGTTATCATACCTATGGCCGATTCCAGGAACGCGAATGCCCTTCTTTTTCATGCTTTCGACGAACTCATAGGGAGTGAGTCCCTGGAGAAGGAAAGGAATTGCAAAGAAATGATATTCAGTGGTCCATAAACCTCACATAGGCACTCTGACAAGAAATGAACATGAACTATCAATAAAATTAGCTTTACTCTGTCATAAGCATCCTTGAAGTATCGAGCAGCATCATCAATGGCGCCTCCGAATCGGGGACCAATTGTCAGCAAACCTGGTTCACAAAACATTAACTTAGTAGAGAGGTTGAGATATGAAAGAGTTTTTCACTCTCATTTGTTCGGTAATGTTACCGACTTTTTGACAATTTGTGGATTCAATATAAATATTTAGACATAAGCCTGTGTTTTTTTTTTATTACTTATCCAACTTAATTTCAACTTCCAGCCAATACTAATATTGTCTAATAATCAATAGCCAGTTTACCTGAGACAAGGCTGGAAACAAGGTCCTTTCCAGCCCTTGCTGTTACAATGGTATTGTGAGCTCCTGAGACACAGGGACCGTGGTCGGCACACAACATGATACATATCTGGTAAAATCCAGAGTATTAAAAAAGTGCAAAATAGTTCTTCTTCCATACCTGTTAACAAATGATGAAAAGAGATCGGATAATGGTTACTCTTAAATTATTGAAAATTACCTCAATAAATTTGGTACAGTAGCGTGGGAGACTGCGTTTGAACCATAAAAGAGAGATGATATCACCAACACCAAAACCCTGCTCGAGAATGGAAGACATTGGCACACCAGCATAGCATGGTTCCTCGCCTATAGTTCGATAGAAACACGAGATTATGATCAATCAGAATGATCCTCTAATAAACTTCTCGCAGAAGTCTAGAATAAAAAAGGCAAGTACCTCTGTCGTCAGAAATGGTTGAAATAATATGAGTTGGGGCGCGAACTTTGCCACTCTTGATTGCAGTGTTGAGATCCTCGGGGATTGGTGGGGGCGTGACCTCCTTAACCGATTCAATCTTCCCTTCTTCGACCTGGGAGGAAAGAAAATCGTCAAGGTGGATGAAAGCAGTCATGGACATCAGAACTTGGCATGATGCACCTCTACTTTAGGGTTTTATTTGTTTAGTCCAAAACTGAAGTTCCCTAAATTTAAGTTTGCAAAGGGCATAATGCACCTTTCTCCATCTGAATATTTAGAACAACCATTCATAATGCACTCCACCAATTATTAAAAGTGAAAAGGCCGCCTCTTCAATAAAAAATAGATTTCCAACTTTTCATCTTTAAAATAAGCATACTTTTTAATGATACACATAATAGTCATTTCCCAACCATCGAATCTCTCATTATCAAACAAATTATCTATTATCCAGCAAGTCCTTTGTAATAACTAAAAAATATTTTAGATCTCGTCAACTCTTTCCAAAGAATTTAGAAAGAGCTGAATAGGTACTCTAAGCATATAGTACTAACCAGTTTGTCAAATGCCTCTTTAATTGAAGCTTCAAAAGCTTCAAATGAGGTAGGCACAACAGCTCCAGCATCTTTAAGAGCTTGATTCTTAGCTTGCGCAGACTCTAATTCACCACCACTTTTAGCACCCTGATTGAAACAATTTACCAAGATCAATCAAGTCTGAATCTTTGCTGTAGCAGTGGTTGATGCCACTTGTTAGAAATAAAAGGGGAAGATATTCTAGAGCAATACAACTTACAGCATGGCCAAATTGCACTTCTGACTTGAAAAGCCGGGCGCAAGTTCCACTGACCCAAGCAACAACTGGTTTGTTAACTTTGCCCTGTTTGATAGCTTCCACCAGAGAGTACTCATCTCGTCCACCAAGTTCTCCAAGTACCACTATCATCTTAACCTAAAGTTGTTTGGGAAGGCAGATAAAAATGGGTTACAATTGTAATTTTTTACCCAACAAAGATACGTTGGTCTCCTTTCTTTTTCTCAGATTTACTGAGATGACTAAATAAAGTGTGCAGTATTGGCATACCTGAGGGATGTTGTTAAACCGCAACACATGATCAGAAAGAGTGGATCCAGGGAACACGTCTCCTCCAATTGCAATACCTGCACAATTTTTCAAACAGGAGAACCTAATCACACCTGCAGCTATTATTTGAAAACACAAAAACCAGTCTATCATAACATAACGAGAATACCTTCATAAATTCCATCCGTTACACGAGCAATAGTATTGTAAAGCTCATTTGACATGCCACCCTGCAATTGTCACATCCACCAGCCTAAGATCTCAAGACAGAGCAATGCCATGCTGGCTTTAAGAAGACAGGAACTAGTACATACCGATTTTGACACAAATCCAACAGACCCGGGTCTGTATAGCTTGCAAGCAATAATGTTGTCAATTGTTCCAGCAGTGTCACCAATCCTGAATGCTCCAGCTTGGATTCCCCCAACAGTAGCAGGACCGATGACAACCTACGCAATCATTGGGAGAGCATACTTTGGTAAAATCATATTGCAGAACAAAATAAGGTGCACTGAAGGGTTGCCCCATTGATTTTAGTTCAATTTGAATCAAATCCAACCGAAATTCTACCTTATTGTTGGACCGTGCATACGCAATCAAATGCTTTGTGTCTGACTCGGGAACACCCTCAGCTATGATGGCCACAACTCGAATTGTTGGCTGTTTCAGAGCAGACATGGATGAAGCAGCGGCACTGCACATGTAAAAACACACATTCACTACAAAGCACAAATTATAGAAGCAGCATTGTCCATTGAAAACTAAATTAGCACAAACCTTCTGAATGAAGCGAAGTTAATAAATACATCAGCCATTGGGTGAGCAGCACAAGCCGCCTCAATGCTGCAGAAAAGTTCACAAAAATGTCAGAAAACTGAAACAACAGAAGAGTGAAATAATATTCCGTGAAGAACACTCAGGACAAGGACACTAAAGCTACATTGAATATGAGAAGGTAATGGTTACAGAAAACTTAATCTCATGTGATTACAGTAATCTGTTTCATTCATTGCTTCACCGTATGGGACGATTAACATTACAATTATGGCCCAGGCCATGAGAATCAACAATAGAGTCAACTCTAAAACCACAGAGAGGAAAGAAAAGTACAAAAGAAATGACAACCAAATCTAACCTTCCATGCACCGGGATAGCAATTTCCTCTTGACCGAAAAACAGTTTCTGAAATCCCTCCGAGCCAGGGTTAATAATTCCAGCTACAGAAGGTGTTTCCCTTCCTGCAAATAAAAAAAGAATCAGGCAAAGCATTGCATCCAACAACCCATCCGAACTACGAAGCCAAATTCCTTCATTCATTCCGATAATGAACTCCCAAGATCCGAAGCTTTCACGTAAAACCACGTACCCCAAGATCAAGACACCGGCAAAGACATGCTTACCACAGAGGAAGTCGAAATCAAGCATGCGCTGGATAGGAAGCTGCTTGTAATTGTAGAACAACGCTTGTGTAGTACGAGAGAAGAGCTGCCCAGTAGCCATGATGGCAAGACTCAGTGACCTGTAAAACAAATCAGTATCAGAAATCCAATGATCTCAGGCAAAAGAATTCGATCTATTGCTTATAACTGCCACCTAGCAAACAGAACCTAATCAATGCTGCTGCTCACATTCACCCAATGCAGCTACGCCATGTAAGTAAGCAGAAGAAGGGATCTACCACACCACCAAACCTAACCCTAAAATAGAGAGCATTGAAACGAAATCGTACAATCCAATCCACACATTCAACCAAACTCGTACCTAACTTCCCCAACCACTAACCAGCTCTGCTCCAACAGATCTCCCACTAACCGCAAAAAAGCCGAACAACCAAAACGATCAGCAGTATTTCAAAAATTCAAATCGCCGTCGCCAAATCTAACTCGAACGGGAAGAAAGTAAGCAATGCAACAGAAATTCAAACACAACGATCGCTCGCAAATCACTCGCAGCAGGACATTCGATCTCAAGTTCAAAGCTCAAATAAACTCTTTCTAGCGAGATTTGGCGGCAAGAAACCAGTGGCGGGGGATTAAGAAGGGGAATTAGGGAGCGGATCTAGGCAAGTGGCGGGAGGGAATTCAGAGATTTTGTTTGGTCAGCGAGAAATCTAGGGACCTACCTGAAACCGGACGCAGGTGTGTCTTCTGTAGTGTACAGTAAGAAACCCTCGACGAAGTCGCCGATTTTCTCGAGCGAGAAAGTGGAGGAAAATTGAAGAGACAAAGAATGCAGGAATGTTTCAGGATGAAGTGTGGGAGTGAGCGAGACGAGTTTGGATATATATAGAGAAGGGAGAGGAGAGGTATTTTCTCTATTTGTTATTGCATTTGAAGCTCCAGCTACCAGCCTACCGGTTCAGGAATAAAAGGGGGGAAATGGTTTGGAAGAGAAGGAAGAGTCAAGAGAGAAGGAGAGGGACACGTGGCGCGTGGTAGTTCGTTTCCAGGACGCAGATCGCTTTGGCTGTTTGTATATTTCTTCTTGGGTTGACTAACTACAGTTTGGTACCTAAAGAAAATCTTTCGTTAGGTTTTCATCCTCAGTTTTGCTTCTAATACTATTTTCGCATATGGTCCAGTAATGATGGAAGCCACGAAATGTTCTAACGATTTAATCATAGTTCCAAGTGGAAGTCATGAAATTTTGGGCCTTAAACGTTACAAAATATGGTGCTCTACTTTTATTACACTCATTTGGAACTATGATTGAATCGTTAAAGCACGATTTCATATTAAATATTTATAAAAGATTTACTCCTTAAATTATTCAATTATCAACATGTTAGAAGGATATAAAAGTGTGACCTCTATTTTGGATTTACCTGATTCAACTAGTAGAAGTGTAAGATTTCACGGAAATAATTTTTGTATAGTAGGATTAACTATGTTTGATTGAACAAACTTGAGAAAGCTAAACTCTTAAACGATATTTATATATTGATAATATAAAAAAATTAAAAAAATGGCGATATTTTAATCCAGAAAGCTAAACTCTTAGAAGTGGACTCAAAACTAAGGAATACATTATTCGGATAGATTCCATTTACTAGTAATCTCATATGGTCAAGTCCGATATAAGCTGAAATGATTTGAAATTCAATGTCTCGACTAGAGAAGATAAAGTATAGATAACTTTTTTTTTTTGTTTGATTTTCAGTGTGAATTTCATACCATCTGCATAGGGAGCACCAAACAAGCTGGTGAAAACCAGCTACTCTAGATATTTTATGTTATGTGGATTTCTCCAGTAAAAATTTCTCGCGAAATACTCGGAAGAAGAATGATAAAGAAAGAAAATGACAAATAATTTGGGTTCCAATTTTCAATGTTGTTAAACTAGGAAATGCAAACATATTTATAAACTAGAAAAACTCCAATTCCTTCTCCTTTTCCTCCTGGATCAACGACCCTTTCTTCTTTTTTCTGTCAAAATTCAAAAATATGAAAACCTATCCCACAGGGGGAATAATAACCAAATCGTGGACAAATAGATACGCAAGTCGTGAATTTTTCAAATTATCAGGATATCTTGATTCTCGTAACATTTTACTTATTTCAAAGGCTTGACACTCTTTTGTTTGAATGCTAGACTTACGAGATAACTTAAGAAGAATATATAGATGAATTAGATCCTGAATGTTAAAATTAATTACTAAACCCAAATTATAAGCGTCTTAAATTACACGAACTAACTCGTGAAGTTTGCCAAACATTTCTTATGTAGCAATAATTATCCAAAGACTAATGATTTGGTCAAGAGCTGTATGCTGTGGAGTGAGACGATCTGGAAGCAATGGAGTGCCATGGGGCTGGGGTTTGCTTCGTATTAAAGTGGGAGTTGTACTTGTATGGCTGGCTGGTGGGAGTGGTTTGGTTAGGTAGTAGATCCAAACCAAACTCCGTTTCATTTTCCGAAGCCCAACTGGACAACGCCACTCGCACCAGGAAGCGAGTGCTGTACACGCTCTCTGTCTCGAACCACAATAAAATAGGGGGGGGGGGGGGGGGGGGGACATAATAGTCAGCAAAAATGGACTTGTTGGTAATTAATAATTTTCGAGAAAATGGTATGGGAAAATTAGTCAACATAGATGAACTTGTCATTCATTAGTTTATTACACAATTCATTTGGAGTTCGCATGCACCACCTCAAATTAAAACATGCATGAGAAAAAAAAAATATTCTTGGTGATTTGTAAGAAGTAGAGGTGGTATTCGGTTTGCCAGTTATCGGTATAACCGGTTATCGAACCGATAACCGACGGTATCGGTATACGGTGGTAGAATTTGGACCTTCGATATACCGAGTTTTACCCGGTAAATAATCGCCGGTTACCCGGTATACCTAATAACCGAAACCCTTATTCATTTCCTATTCACTTCACCTCCCATGCCCCCTGCGAACACTTCATTTTCTTTCTTCTTCCCCAACAAATCACTCTCTCTCTCTCTTCTTCTTCTTCCCCGACTACATGCGAATTCTTTTCTTCTCTTCTCCCCTAAGAATCCAAATAATCCTTTCGTCTCTTCTCCCGGAAGACCCCAACTGCGTATTGACCATCCCTCTCTCTTTCCCTTCCTTCTCTTCTCTCCGTCTTCTTCCCTGTGCCCTGCCACAGATTTAGGCGCCTCGCCGCAGTTACCGCGGTCGGCGTTACTGCTCACCGCTCAAGTCCTCATCCCTCTCCGAATTCTTCCTAGCAGCTGAGCCTCCATGGCAGATCTGGCCATCGTAGCCGGAGGTGGAGTTTCAGTGGCCTCTAAGGTGAAGGAGAAGGCCCTAGATCTGGAGATTCACCGCGCCGCAACACCTCCGCAGACCCACAATCGATGACTGGCACTGCATGCGTGAGGGAGATAGAGAGCATCGCACGCCGGATGTTTCCCACTCGTCTCCTGCTTCTGCTTAGTTGGGGAAGAAAGTAAGATGAGAGAAGAGGAGGCCTTAGCCAGTGGTTCGGCTAACCGAAACGGTAACCGTTACCGGTAAGTCGGTAAGCCGGTTAACCGGAAATTAATCGGTACCGGTTGTCGGCAAAATATTTGGCATTTCGGTAATACCGATAACCGGTAAGTCGGTAACCGGCTATACCGATACCGACCGATTACCAGGCCTAGTAAGAAGAGTGTTGAAGAGGGGACCTTCCCATTAATTTCTACCATTTTATCATCAAGTTACATGTCGGCTCATGAGTTGTTATATAACATTTCAGATTATAAACGCGAAGACAAATTCGTTTGCATGATTAAAGACAATTGCTAAATTTTCACAAGATAATGGTAGCGCGAAAAAGTATACAAGGGTCGCTTCCTCTCTCTCTCTCTCTAGGAATCGGCGATTGCGGCGTTCTTCGTCTCCGCTGGAGTCTTCTTCGTTGATTCTTCGCCACTCCTTGTCAATTCCTTCTCTTGCCTTTACTGAGCCGATTCTTCACTTCGGAATGAGTTCGTTGCCGAGCCTTTCGTGGGCGGAGTTGTTCGACATTGCTGAGGAGAATCGCTTGGTGTACGTGGAACCGAAGATTGTGGACGGGGGGCTTCGTATACCATCGGAACTTGAGGATGAAGAGATAGCACGATGGAAGCATTGCTTGGTAGGTCAATTTCTTTCTTCATCCCCTCATATTCGTCAGGTTCAGTCTTGGGCTACTCGTCTCTGGGGAAAGAAAGGAACAATTAGGGTTTTTTGGTTAGGGGAGCGACTATTGCTTTTCCAATTCCCAACTGCTGAGACTGCACACTGGGTCTTCTCGAGTGGTCCTTGGCATCTGAAGAATGATATGTGTTATCTTAGGAAGTGGGAACCAGGAATCCGAGCTGAGCAACCAAGGCAGACAATTCCGATATGGGTTAGATTTCTGGATTTGCCTCTTGAGCATGGAATGGGTCGTATTCTTACGCGTTTGGCAAGCATGATTGGAAAACCACTTTGGTTCGACAAATCAACTCGACTTGGCCAAAGGTTGGGATATCCCCGTGTTTGTGTGGAAATGGGGATTGATTCAGAGTTCCCGGAGTTCTTGCATCTTGTCCCGGATCGAAGACCGGCGTACAATGTTCATATCGAATTCTGCAACAAGCCAGCAATATGTGCCAAATGTTGCAAGTTTGGACATAACTGTGAGGAAATTTAGAATGAGAAGCAGGACACAGGGCCGATTGTTGAGGTGGTTCAAGAATTATTGCAAGTTGAGAGTGTGGGTATAGAGGAAGTGTCAGAAGCAGTGATGCAGAATGAAGGCGAATCTGTAATTAAGGAGGGCTTGCTCCCTAGTGCTGAAGGAAATAGGCCTGAGAAAGAGGGATTGATTCCAAATTCTGTTGCTGAGGTGAATATACCTGAGCAGGAGGGATTACAGAGAGCTATGGTGAACCTTGTCACTTCTCTGTATGAGTATGCTCATTGGCAGGGGTGTCTTCCATCAGAAAAGGATTTTCAGGAAGCTGTAACAACCAATGAAATGGTAACTCATGGCAATTTTTTTGATGCTCTTTCTTCCTTAACTCAGTTTGAGGTAGGAGAGCTGGTATTATCTCCTTTGAAGGATCCTATCAATTTCCCTGAGCTATCCAAGGAAGTTCAACAAAAGAAAAAGAGTAAGCCTAGTCGGCCTCCGAAAGGGGCAAAGCACTTCACCAAGTCATGAGTGTGTTAGTGTGGAATATGCGGGGCTTTAATAACCCTGCTAAGCAAGATAGTATACTAGAGTCTATTAGTAGATACAAGGTGGAGTTAGTAGCTATACTGAAATCAAGAGTCAGTTTAGATAAGGTAGAGAATATAATAGCAAAAAAGTTCGAAGGGTGGGAACATAAAGAGACCTATTCAACTGTTGGAGTGGGAAGCAGGTGTACCAAGAGTTATCTGGAAAAGTGGATTTATCATTACCATGGATTGTGGCAGTAGATTTCAATGCTATAGTGGATAGAAGTGAAGCCTCAAATTCAGGGGGTTAGGAGAAAGTGCAGTGAATTTCAAAGATTGGATTGATGCGATGAAACTGTTGGATCAAAAAGTATTGGGGCCATGGTTTACCTGGTCCAATAAACAAGCTGCCAATCCAATAGCAAAGCGTTTGGATCGTGCACTTGTTTCAGAGAAGTGGTTAGAGGCTTTTCCAAGAAGTTCATTTAAGATTCTGTTGCCTGGACTCTCATATCACTGTGGTCTCTTAATCAGTTTGGATTCAAAGGTTCAAACTTTACCTCGACCTTTCAAATATTTCAATGTTCTGCAACAAGCTCTGCAATGTCTAGATTGTATCAGAAATAAAACAAGACCGATTAGGCAAGGATTTTAGGTGCTGTTAGTTTTAGGTTATAGGGAATACGTTCGACAAAAACCTAATTGCGTGCGTGTGTGAGCTATTGATCATGA